CATCTACGACAAAGCTAAATATTGTCTTAGTATGGGACTTTGGTGGAGTAATCTGCAACTCAAAATGTGAGTTCATTAGGTACTTTTCAACTGAGCAAGTGCCACTTTTGGCTATCACTCTTTCTTATCAATATTTCCACATCATCCATTTCCCGTCACTCATTGCTGTAGCAACTTGGCAACTATGATCTAATGGTGTATCGCTCGTTGATTGTTTCGGGATAGAAAAACCTGTTGTGTGTTGCACAGTTGAGTGTCAGGCAGGTGCCGTAACAGCCCTTACGACACTGACGCATTCTTCGCTATCAGTACCCATTTTACTAGTACAACCCTTATCAACTTTCTTGTTAGCCACTGCCAGAAGCCTAATTGCCTTTTGGATGACTAATGCTTGGCTCGAACAAGAAAACATTCAGGGCCAATAAGAGTTAGGCTTTGAGCACCTTTCATAGGCAGTGAGATTTAAGCGTGTGCACATCTTATAGAACCACGTCTTTCATTCCTTCATCCATGAGGAATAAGCAATATAGCCGCCTGCATTTGTGAGTAGGGCCGATCAGCTTAATAACTGACTAAAAAGCGATAGCACGAAAATGGATATGTATAAAATAAATCACGTCAAAGTCGATCAAGCATGCCTCGATGCAATAAATACACAAAAGGCAAAGTTAACACAGGTAGGATATAACCTTGAATGAAAAAATTCAATTAAAGTGTAAGCAGTAGTTTTGATACTTAATTTACGATCGAAACAATTAGTTGAACTCAACAAGGAATAATGCCACTGTATTTTTAATTAGCGAGCGCGTATATATTACGAAAAGTTTGAGGGTTGTTCACAGAAAAACTATTTTTGGTGAAGATGACGCAAAAAAGCGCTGCGATAACGATTAGTTGAGTAGAACAAAAAATTAGTTTTAAGGTAGAGTCTATAGACTCTACCTTAAAAATCTATAGATTTTTACACAAACTCATATATGCTGATTTCATAGCATTTCGACATTATAGCAGATAACAGCTTGTAATGAAAGCTTTTACTGTAACTTCAACACACTTAGTCTCCACTTTTTTCATAACTTATCCCTTCAGACTATTCCATAGCCTCACTATTGCCGTATTAAATTGATGTTTTCAAGGTCACTTTAGTGTTACTTGACCTGAAGGATAAATGAACTCAAAATGATGCAAACGTAGATGACCGACGTCGTCTTCTTTGTCTAGTTTGTGGTTGTGAGTTAGAAGTTGCATGATATTCGGAAGAATAATGATCAAAACCGTCATATGACTAATGCGCGATGTTAAAAAAGACGGTGGTATTTTTTCTCTGAACAAGTTTTATAGTATTGATCGTTGAATTGCGAATCAAGACCACGGTTGTTGCTTTAATTGAATTATTTTTGTTAAAGTAATTAACATGAGTAGAGCTTTTTCTCTAGAGTAGTTTACCATCTGTACTTTACGAGTACAGATAGATAAAACTAAAGACACTGGTACTTAGTTTTCGTCGTTGAATGTATCTTTGAGCATAGTTTGTATCCACAGGCGTTAAGATCATGCCTGTAAAAATGGCATGTACAAGCCCTTGCAGAAGTATATTGTATCATTATATTAAGATCTTTCTGTAACTATTGAAGTCGCATTTTTATTTATTATATTTATATAGAAAGATAAAACAAATCTATGGCTCGATCGAAACATCTTTATGGTAGACCAGCATGCTATTTCTCGGTCGATGAGAGGGTGCAATATGATAACTGCATTAAGTGGTATCACAATGTATGCATCGAACTCACTTAAGTTGCGTATAAACTATGCTGCAAACCATTATCACATTCGTTGTGTGAAGAATGTTGTTCTAGATGTATCTACTGATTCTAGAGACGATCGAGCTGCTAAGCATAGCTGGGAAATCGCCCTCAGGCTAATAGGCAGCAACAGACGATCGAAACTTTGCTCTCAGGGAAATTGAGAGCGTTATTATGAGCCCAGCTCTAGACTTAAATGAGAGCATAAAGGTGGACCTCATCAGGGAAACGGATAAGCATATGGATGTATGAATTGTTACGAGGAGAAAGAAGAAGCGCGGTGAGAAGACGAAACTACCTATAGACAGTATTGAGGCATGTGAGCCGGCGGGTCCAGTCCCGAATTCGTATATCAATGTATTACAAACTATAGGGGAGCCAATTCTGAGCAATGCAGAGGAAGGTATCAAGAGACAAAATAAAATAAATGAGTGACCCACAGTCACACCTAGGGTAAGAAAAGTAAGAAAACAGATATTGGCCTCTGTGTTTGACATTGAAATGAAATCGGAGTCCAAGGAAGAGACGGTTTCAGGAACTTAAATTGCAGGGCGTGTCAAGTCAGACCTATCTGAGAGGTCATTCATTTTTCATAATTTAAGAGAATCTTCCGATAAGTAACCAAAGGCTATATTTGAACACGATCTCAGTCATATGAAGCTCTTAATAAGCAAGCTACTTCCAGAAACAGTTTCAGGAGCTAGTATCTGTAAGCGTTATAGAATAAAACAAAACGTGGATTCTGAAATTCATCAGAAAAGCCGCTTCTTGAAGGCTACATTTGCCACGGTTGATAAGGGAACATGATTCTAGGTGAATCACGCAAACTGATTGGACCCGGAATATACGTCGGCTGAAAACTGGTAAATTGACTCAAGGGCATCAGTACAAAAGGCACGGACTCATTTCAGGCAGTTGTACAATCGGGTAACTCAACCATACATACCCTGGACAGTTCCAAAGAAGAAGAAGCACGGACATCCCTGGACAGGCTGGGATTTTGGACGTTTACTAAGACAAAAGAAGAAATGTTGGAATGTTGCTGTCAGCCTTGGCACAGCAGGTACGATGGAACGCTACAGATCGATAAGAAACAAGTGTGTAACTAAAATTCGGGAAGCTCAAGGAAAATAGGAAATGCACTAGGCACGAGCTACACTCAAGCGGCCTAAGAGAATGTTCTCGTTCATAAATTACAGAACAAGGATGCGTCATTTGATTACCAATCTAATTAAAGAAGGGAGTGAATCTGAGGTGGTAAACGAAGATCAGGAAAAAGCAAAGGCTATGGTTGACTAGATTGGTGCAGCTTTTACTCAGGAACCTCCTCTAGACAAAGAACAAGACCAAAATACAGAGCCAGCAAACCACCTGCTCACCGTGGATTTTGATCAAGACTATATACTTAAGACTCTTAACACCTTAGACATGAAAAAGTCAGTAGGGCCAGATGAACTACACCCCAAAATATTGAGACATATTGCACAATATATCGCAGTCAATGGGACTGCGATATTCAATATGTCACCTTACCAAGGTGTGTTACTTGTGAACTGAACGAAAACGTCACTCCAACACATAAAACAGGACCAAGGCACCTTTCACCGAACTACAAACCTGTAAGCCTAAACAGTGTTGTAGTTAAACTATTGCAAAGCATAGTTAAAAAGATCATAATGACATTTGTGCATGACAACAACTTGTTAAACAATGAACAACATGGTTCCATAAAGGGTCTATCTTGCACAACAAACCTCCTCATAGCAGCGGAGCATTAGATAAAAGGACTAGGCAACGGAAACTCAGTGTATGTTGTCAACATAGACTTCAGTAAGGCATTTGATTAGATGCCAACAAACAGACTACTATTGAGGTTGGGAAATCTTGGTATTGCCGGAATCCTCTTAAAATGGCTTACTGATTTCTTAGTACGTCATAAACAGAAAGTAAGAATAAATTCTAAGTGCTCCATCTGGAGACCAGTACTTAGTGGAGTATCTCAAGGTTCCGTCCTAGGTCCTTTACATCTTATACTGTATGCAAATGATCTCCCAAGTATAGTACGTTCCCTAATGTTATTATACGCTGACGATGTAAATATCTGGCGAGTAACAACTGGAGATGCAGATGCGTGCGTACTTCAGGCAGACTAAAATACAGTGATTAACTGTACTGAGGAGTGGCTCATGATTATCAACGCGGCAAACTGTCTATATGCACTTTGGGAATACAAAGATAAATAGGTACAGCATAGGAGAAGTGCCTGTACCCGTGGTTTGGTCTCACAAGGATCTTGGGGTTACAGTGAGCTGTGATCTTAAGGCAACAGCTTAATGCTGAGAGGTTGCAGCTGAGGGGCTTAAAATCCTATTGGCTTTACGATGGACATTCAACAAGTTAGATAACATCATGCTCACTACAGTATACAAAACCTTAGTGAGAACTAAGCTTGAGAACTGCGTTCTGACTTTGGGGTTTACCATGCAAAGTTTGAGAAGCTAGATCTCTTTACTCGGTTCTACCGCTGATTGAGAGGTGATCTGATTTTGATGTACGAGATCCTAAGAAATGATTTCGTGCCTAATACGTTCACTTTGTCCATTCCCACTAGATCTTGACATTTCAGAGCGCATAGTAGGTGAGTATAAAAAACCTAGAACGAACAAAATACCGGTGACATACAGGTTTTCACACCGATTCATCAATAATTGGAACCTACTGTCCAAAGCAGTGGTGTTCGCACCTTTAATTGGCTCTTTCAAGAGAAGGCTGGACACTCACAGAAGCATGTATACAGACATATCTGACGAAAAAAATACTTTAGAGTTGGGTCATCATTGTTGTTCATACATACTGACACAACGTACTTAATATGCGTGAACCACAAAAAATAATTGTCAACCACAGAAGCAATATGACCTTATGTACTTTTTTCGAACAGGTCTCAAAATTGTCCTAACTTGTAAATCGTCGCGATAACACAATATCACTGAAGATTCGTCCTATATCATGCATCATCACGATGTCATCGTCTTCGTTACTTGAAGGATGGACGTTATCAGACGTAATGTGACTGAAATGAATTCAAATCTAAATGTGTCCTGATTTGACCACTTCTGCAAAACTTCACAAATTGTCGTCGTGACGCACCAATCATCTTACGACAGTTTGACCTTCAATTTACGAGGACACTCCAAAAAGTTCACAAGCCCAGAACAAATTACTTGTCAGCTGACTATCGACTCTCCCATCGAATCATCGAGTGGAATACATTACCTCGGCACGTGGTTGAGGCTCAATCCGTCGACTCTTTCAAAAGAAAGTTGGATCAACTAAGAGGCCATCATTGCCCGTACTAACACAGGCCATCAAGCCTCCTTTCCTCTCCAAACTGAAACTGAGACTGAAAGTGCACGCAACCTCCTTCTGTGTACGATACCCCTGAAGTGTTGCCGTCGTCGGTTAGTTGGTCTTGCCAATTAATTCATGTTCTTTTGTTAGTGTTCGGTTAATTTGTAGTCAGGGTGTGAACGTCAAGACGTTAGATTCAGGGTTTAAGAGCAAGGAAACCCACAACTAACCTTAAGTGCCCTACTCATATAAAGTCAATATATACAATAACTTTACTGTCTGGGATTAGTCCTTTCATTCTCTACCAGAGGTCATTTTGATGTACACTCGCTGTTTTCTGTATGGCTATAATCAGTGGAGTCCCCATGTTTGCTTTATGGTATTGCCAAGCTTAACCTAAACGTACACGACAGCAGTATCATACAGTGATACCATTTGATGTGACCAATCCGACAAGTTATCTCAGTATTCCTACTGAATAACAGTAAGCTCTGATCTTCAGATCATGGTCTCTTAGATCATTTTAAGGTGCGAATTTAAGTAGGGGCACTTCTCCAACATGTTGGTTAGGAAATGAACATAGCAAAATGTGTTCTGTTTCTTGCAGTTTTAGAGGGTACTTAGTATGATATAGAAATGCTATTGCACTATATGTTTTGTTTTTTAGATCTGAGGATACTGAATATATGAACAATAAGACTTTATTAAATGTTTTGATAACGAAAGATACCGTCGGTTACTTAGTTTATAATAGAGTAGGGACCTATTAAATTAATGAAACAAATAAATTTGGGTCCAAATATTTAATTCAAAGTAAAATGAGAAATAAAGGTTATTACAATAATAAACGTCATCTCAACTAACCGTTAACAAAAATAGCTCTCCCTGCTAATCACATTTCTTTCTTATTGTTGGTGGTGTTTTTTTAAGACTGGTTTATGCATTATTTGTTAAAAGAAATCGCCATACTACGTAATTACCGTGTTTTAATTCTTTATTTCCTTCCCACATGTTTTCAGGGTCTTTAACGATTTAGATTGGTGACAATGGTATCTTGTTAGTTCAGTTATTCTGCTCATCTGTTCCGTCAAAATACGTGTTATTGTCTCTGTGGACGGATTCTATAATGTATAGAAAGGCTGGGATCGCATCGATTAAAAGCAAATCGCTTGCTCAGTCGAAGTACAAAGAAAAAAGTGACGAGTTAGCAGGAAATCAGATAACAACACTATCACGACAGTTTGAACAAGTTCGTCAGTCGCTTGAATTATTTGCGAGCAAACACGGGAACAAGATTAAAGAGGATCCACAGTTACGTTCACAATTTCAAGCAATGTGTAGTAGTATTGGTGTTGACCCTATAGCATACAGTCGTGGGTGTTGGTCAGAAGCATTAGGTTTGGGAGAATTTTACTACCATCTAGGTGTGAAAATTATTGAGGTAAGTTAATAAATCACTAAAGTTTTCACCTAATTACCGACCTTACAATTAATAATAACCAAAATATTCTCTACTACCTGATTTCCATCCAATTTTGCTTTATTTCTGATTTGACAATATCGAGATTAAATTTTCTTAATCAAATAGTGTCTTCATTATTACCATAGTTCAAAGGAAAATCGAGCCTTTAAGATCTCACCAAGGACTGATTAATTTGTTCCAATAAATTGGATGTAGTTATGCATAAAATGGTTTCTCCGTCTTCTAGTACTATAGGCTAATGCCACTATTCATATGAGTCACCGATTCGCCTGAGCTCCAAGCATCTAGCAATTCATCATTATTCTTATGGTTTCTCAGATTCAAAATTTTATCGTTCTCGATGTCTCACGTACATCCATAATAGATCTTCATGTCCATAGATGTGAAGGATGCATTATACAATTAACAGTTTGTACTTGTTGCTACAAAGATAAAGAGTTTATTTTCTATTTTTTATTTGAACACAAACATTGGTACAAAGGGGCACCAAAATATATATGCCCCACACAATAAAGACGGGTTTATGAAAATATAATGAAAGAAAAGCAAGTATAATAAAAAAGAGCAACAATGGATAGAAATTAGTTTATGAGAGTGAAATAATAATATTAATAATAATGGACGAAGCAGTTCAGTTCAGAAAAATACGAGCAAAAAGGATTCTTTCAGTTAAAGAAGTTCATTTCACTTATATGAAGAAAGTGAAGAAGGTTCCAGCAAAACCACACTGGTTTCTATCCTGAGCCATTGCCGATAACGTATCAAGCCATTGTATTGCACCATCTCTGTGACCTCAACCAAGAAGGTCGAACACAATTTCTGTAGAAGAACACTTAACTGGTGGTAGAACTCATCCTTCATCGCATTGGGGGCTGCAATCTGTTTAAGATTGAACGATGACGAAAAAACATCGTTCCTCACACCGATTTCTCATTTTGATCGGATCTTTCAATCTGACTGCACATAATCAACTAGTCATGGGGATCCAATTGATTAGCGCTGCCCTAGCTCTAGCGCTTAGTGCGACACCAGCGAAATCAGACGAAGATGCCACAGGGTCCCCGAATAAACGCACGTGAAACAAGTTTTTCGAAGCGACAGATAGAGAGCGAATTTGTAGTACTTTACTAGGGTCCTGAATATGGGTCTCGGATAGACAACAGACATCGGTGCTGAGAATTTCTAAAGACAGCCAACTCTATTTGTTATCCGATCCGCTTTAGTATACGAAAGGTGAATGAGGCTAGTTTGAATGACATACGTGGTTTCAGAAAGACTGGTTGAGAATTCGTATTTAGTGGTATCATTCGACTTTCAACCAATCAGTGACTTAAGATCGTTTAGATAGGATAAGATCGCCACCATTTACTATCTGCTGTATGAAATGAAGAATAAAGAGATACACAAAATCGGAATACAATATATGAACAAGTGACGTAATGCGAAATAAAAATGAGTAATAATAGTTTTGAGTGTGACTTGCGAGAACGAGAATTGTAGCGTGAATAGCTTTTCTACCTGTAGTTATCACTTTGTTTGCGGGCTGTGATACTGCCTGGGTGCCAAAACTGAAGCAGGTGATTTTCTTAGAGAGCCACTTTCCGACCATTTTACTTAGGGGTCACATCCACTAAGCACTGGAGCAACGTTAAGTAATACACTAGATTCATATGCGATGTGTCCTCTTAGGATCCTGGAGCCCGTATGCACCGTTAGTTCGGAATCAGGGTTTTGCAATTTATGTTGTAGGCTGTGTTGTGCCGTCCTGTATTATTCTGTATGTACGGGGAAGTCTTCAAAAAATATTTATTAGTTTACGACTCGGTTGGGCACTCCGGCAGTATTTCAGCCCTCATACAAATCGAGTGATTTATGTGGCGCATACGTATTTGGTGCCTCCTTGTATCAATGTGTACTTGTTCAAATAAATAATTTGGTTGTGTAATGTTAATATTGTTTTCGTCAATATCTGTAGCTATTCATCACGGTGCAGACTATCATGTAGTCTTCATTATACTTTACTTTGTACAAAATCTTTTTACATGTTATTTTATGTTTATATTGTTCTTAAGCTCAATTTCCTTTACAATTTTATCCACAGGTATGCATGGCTAACCAAAAACACACTGGAGGCATTATACCTCTGCATGAATTGGTATATCTATTAAACAAAAACAGAACACGATATGAGTCTGAAGTTAGTGCTGATGACGTAAAAAGGTCTATCAGAAAACTGCGTTGTCTAGGAACAGGGTTCAGTCTCATTAGTCTATCAGGTGGTCGGTTATTGGTCCAGTCGGTTCCAGGTGAAATGAATATGGATCAAACTTTGGTGTTGGGGCTCGCAGAAAGTTCTGATAGTCATGTAACAGCATCAGCCGTAATAGATAAGTTAGTGTGTGATTTGTGACTAGAAACATTTTATTTCAGCTTCCATTTTCAGTAATTTATGTCTGTACTTGTTTGGACACAAACGACCTATTCAATCCGTGAAAATTGTTCAGTTAGGTTCGACTAAAAAATGAATTTTGAAATATTTTTAGTAACAGACCTAGCGATTTATGCATAAGTTTATATAGTTGATCATAATTCTGGATCTACTTTGGGCTCCATTGTTCACTAGGGATTTTGTTTACTTTTAGTCATAAGTTGTACTTTATTTCAGTAGCTTGCAGAAATTTGCCCAGTTGTCTTTCAGTCACTTTAATCAAGAAGTGATATCAACTAGAAAACTATTGAAATCCGGAAATACTAAGTGCGATATCAAATTCCATAAATTTCAGGTCTCAGTATGGGCACAAGATACCTTTAAACAATTAAATGTGCATTCAATAGTACATATTTTTAAATTGAGTTTATTTAGGATATAACGAAATCATTGTCAAATAGGTAAAGATTTTTCAGGAAGTTATTTCTGACTGGACACACGAAATGAATTCCCACTGAAACTAGAAAATTATTTTCAAGATTAAGATAAGTCAATTTTTACGTCACTAGTTTCAAATTAGTTATACGAAACCTCCACATAATAATTAGCAAGTTATATAAGTCAGCAAATCGACGTACAGGTAATCATCAAAATAGTCAACTAGCTGCAGACTGAAAACATTGCGATCCAACCTGACAAATCTCTGATAAAAGATCAGTGTCACCTTTTTACAACCATGATATGTTATGCGTCGAATTACAGGGTACCCACATTTCAAAATTTGGAAGATTTGTTCACTTTTTATTTCTATCTACCTGTTTTTAACTTGTTTCGTCGTTTCAGCGTATCTAGTTATTAATTTTTCGTTCCGGTTATTTCTATTAATGGTTTATCACATCCATTCTGATGTGTTTTATTCATTTGATAACATTCGTTCCTCTCGTTACATTATATTTATATAATATCACGGGAAAACCTCTTATTATCTTCAAAAGAAATATCTGCGAAGTTAAACATCAGCATGTAATGTAAACAATTAGCTTACTGTTAATGGGAGTAAAACTTTTGAAGCGATAATGTTACCTGTTCACTTTTCTCCCGGTAAATCAGTTATGTTATCACTTCGTAAACCTAATAAGTGTCTTTAATTAAATGATATAAAAACAGTGTATACGTGGCTACAAAGCAATTAGTATTGTTTTACTAAAATGCATTTGAAATGAATTTTCAATAAATTACAACTGTAATTTATGTTCAAAGATGGATAATGGCCAGCAGTGAAATCCAAGGCTCGCGTTTCATCCTATTCGGGACTCGTCATTTGGATTTACCTGCATCTTAGAACTGATGTTCGAGTCCTGGAGTGAAGATCAACTCTTAGATACAGGTACATCTGATCGACGAGTCTCAAATAGGACGAAACTCGCGTCCTAGATTCCACTGCTAGCCACTACTCATCTTTGTTTATAAAGCTTGTGACTTAAGGCAACGTCGAGGCAATCCGCACAGGATGCACATATGCCAATAAGAGACTGATCAGTTGCAATCCTAAACAACAATGGGAAGGTAGAAGCAAGCAACACCAGGTAAATGTAATTTATATTGTTTCGAATTTTTTTCTCTCTTGAATTCATGTCTAAATAAAATTGACGATCAGTCTGTTTTTCAGCAAGTAAAATATTGTTTATCCTGTTACTCTCTTTGAAATATAGTCCATCTTGTGTAAATAATTAGATTTATCCTTCTTATTTTATAGCGTATTTTTTATTGTTGTATTTTCAAGTAACATTTGTTTGTTTCCTTCTGCATAAGATATTACCATCTATTTTAATGATCATAGGCCGATTGTAAAACCAACTTACTGCTTTAAGCTAGTTATGATCAGTGTTCATCTTGAACTACTATGCTTTCACAACTGTAAGTAACAGTGAATTATCAGTTTGATTATAGGGATTTTGCGGGGATCGCTTTAATTTATAGGTTATGTTCGTTACAGTTTAATCTCAAGGAGGACTGGACAGCTGTTTCATCCTGTAATGGGGCTCCTCAACAGGAAGTATTCACACTCCAAGTCCCATAAAGAACCCTTAATTACTAGAAACACCGGGTTGGCTCCCAGTAATAGAATTTAGTCTTCAATCGGTTTTTTGCTTCGATCGATAATCTTATTGTTATTATTCAGTTGTCGGAGGGAGATATTTATTTTTTGTTTTTGCTAGTTTCCTTTTTGAAAAAGAAGTCAACTTAGTATGTATTCGACTAAGATAACTTGAGTTTTTAAGTAATTATTACTATTTTTGGCGTTAAATCATTTTTTATGTGTCGGCATTTAATTATTATGATGCAAAAACTGCGAATTACCATACATTTTAACGATACCGTTAATTATTGTCCAGTTTTTCTAAGTGCACAACGCTGAGTAAATAACCGTTTTAATACATGTGTAATGTGACCTCTCTCTATTTTTTTAATCTTCATTCAGATTTGATTGGACTAAAGATCGTACAGACGCTGCCTTTCGCCATTTAATGCAAGAAGGTATTGCATGGGTTGATGATTTAGATCCTTGTGGTGAAAGAGTATTTTGGTTTCCTAGCTTAATGGGCTCAATAATTACATCATAAATGTATACTTAATGATGTTATACTGCTTTCATTCCCTGTTTATTTATTTTATGAAAACCAAGGGACTTTCATCAGCCATTATTTTCTACATTATGAACCAAAAAATCTAATCGTTCATTGTTTATCAGTACCATAAACAAAGTTTACATCTTTAAACCAACAAACAGTAATTTAAAATGACATACCAGTTGACACTGTAGTGGCTCAAAGAATCAAGGCCATGCTGAAGAGTATGTTTGATTTTGCTTTTTAGCGTCGTTGTGATAATCGTTTTTTCATCCCTGTGAAATTTCGTTATTTTATGTGACGCATTAAGTGTTTCTCATCGTTCTTATGTTAGTGTGTACTTTCTAGCTTGTTAACATTTTCTGTATTATAAAACATCAATCCATTTTCTTTGAAGTTTTTTGTTTATATTAAAAACCAGTATAAATGAGTATTTGCGATCAATTTTGCTGTTGCTTGAAATTTCCTAAGTGTCCGCATATTCGCTCCTAAGTGTCCTTCTGGAGCGTGTTGTTTGAGAGTTTAAAAAATGAGGAATTTTCTGGTGTGATGTATTCCATATTATCATAGATAACTCGTCATCATCAACAAGCGAAACTGATTTCAAATGTCCGGTTTTCCACTTTAGGGATATATTCGAAAGGATCCTGAGATCCAGGCATCCAACAACTTGGGATCAAGTGTGAGAAATCTTTGATTTTTTGCTGAAGTTTGTCATTAAAATACTTATTCCTAGATCACTTGATAATGTTATATGGTGTGATAAAGTAAATTGGATAAGAAAAACCCATTATCAGTTTGTGGTGTACGTGCTATTTTTTTACAAGATGAAGTCGGAGGGCCGTGGTTAGATAGTAAAAAGGTAATTAGGTGTTATGTTGAGAACCTCGTAGATCAACGTTTACTGGCCGTAAAGTAAGGTTTTTAAAAAGTTACGATCTCGAAAATTATACTAATACCTTACTCAAGATAGTGTTGCCAAAGGTTGAATGATGAGCAGCTATGTGTCGTAATACAAACGATCACCATCTTCAGTGATCTCTAACAGATTATTAATATCTTGACATGACTGTAACTATGATTAATTACGAAAAGCTAAAAATTCCAACCAACAGCAAAATTGATCGCAAATACTCATTTACACTGATTTTTAATATATACAAGAGGCTTCAAATAAAGTGAATTGATGTTTTATAATAGAGAAATGTTAACAAGCTAGAAAGTACACACTAACATTTGAACGGTGACAAAATGTGATGATAAACATTTAATGAGTTACGTAAAATAACGAAATTTCATCATAATGAAACAAAATATCGAAGTGACACTAGGAATCGAAAAAGGGAACCCAAGAAACCAGCATTGCTTGCAGAGGTGGCTGAAACTATGAACTCTCTATCACTGCATGTTTCCGACTTGTCGTCAGTACGATTTTAGAAACTAAGAATTTCAGTTGTGTTAACATTTGAGTTTAAGTCAATAAATATTCTAAAACTTGTAATGTTGAATAAACCCATTCTACTTATTTATACCATAAATTGTTCTTTTATACGGAGATACTGACGGGTTTTAATTTTCATTCGTCTAATGAAGCAATCATTAATCTCTTTCTCGTTGTGAAGTAAAGCGTTCATGCGTATATCAGTTTATCATAGACTGCTGCGTGCTTAAACACTTGTTACTCCTGCCTTTGCAAAACGTTCTTCACTACTTTTACGGCTGCGAAACGTGGCAATTAAGAGTAGAAAATACTCGTAAGCTACTAGTATTTGGTCACAGATGTCTTAGAAATATTGCTTGCATCTGTTAGAATCACCAGGTAAATAATAGCGAAGTTAGACGCGTAGCATTAAGGAACGATGGTGAATCAATTGATGATGTTGTAAATCTTCATCGATTGAGATGGTTGGGCCATGTGTTACGTATGCCTGAACACTGACCAGTGTTAGAGGGATGGTTGGAAGAAAGTTAGGGGCGACCAAAACAAAATGTGGCATCAGTCTTCGAAGTCACTAACTTCTGGTTTGAGCCATGTTGGAAGATGCAGACTACTTGGTTGTGGTCCGCGCGACTATCGTAACCAATAGTTGGAGACTGTGTGACATAGCTAAGAATCTATCACTATGGAGTGAGTGTATACCGTGAGATTAAAATTACTTTTGTTTTAACTTTCGGTTTTCGTCTACACAAATGGATGTTAATTTACCCTAGACGAATATCTACACTAGATTCCCTCCCAGTGTCCATTTTACAGGACTTCAAAAAAAAACTCAGACCAAGAACATGTGATTAGCCTGAATAGAACGTCAATATATTTCCACACCAAAAGCTGACAACAATAATAATAAGAGTGGAGAATATATAACTCATGAAATACCTTTCAGACTGTTTACATGTCTGACTAAGCAAATAACTAATTATTCCCACACACCAACTTTATGCCGTTCTTTCTACGAACTAATTCTTCCACCCTGTATTTTCTCCTTATACAGTCTTTTATATACTACTACCATTGAAGTAACTACTTCTATAAATTTGATGTTCATCTTGTGCTAATGAGTTGTGGCAACTTGGACCGATGCATATATGTACCTGGTCCTACGTTACAGCTGACTGACCTTTGCAAAAAATTAATGGATACTAGGAGGAATATTTATTTACAGAAAGTAAGGCTAATTTTGGACCGCACCAATCTAAACGTACAGTTCATCAATTCGCACGGAAAAAATCAAAGGTATCCAGGATGTTTGCCTAAATTATGGAGTCCGTTACACTACAGAACCCTGCACTTTGTCGTTTATAATTTGTCAACTTAAGCGCATTATGTGTAGTTTGAAAAGACACTATAGAAACGTCTACAGATTATCGGAAAATAAAGGTAAAACAGTCACTACTAAATTTATAAGCTTTATTACTTTCGCCAAGTGAACTACAGGTACGCCTTTAACTATACTTCATTTAGGTTAATATGTTCTATGAGAAAACCAACAGCATATAATGAATGCTAGGATCTCAATAAATAAACCCCATGTCATTAAAAACTAACAATGCAAAACATATTTGGAAGACTGAAATGCTCATGAGGACTTCGGTCGTTTAGGTAGGTATAAATGGATGGTTCATAAAAAAACTAACAACAAAATATAGTCTCGAGACTTCATCAAACCATACAAAATTGCTAAAGGTCCTGGAATAAAGGCGTCACTCTCCACCAAATGTTCGAGCACTGTCATACTTCCTAAAGACCAACAAATGTTGGGTTTGTTGATATCAAGGTTGCTCTTGATTTGTTTTTTGACCTCTTAAAGGGTTTGCACATAGAGGACATACAGTCACGGCCGCCTGATCTCACCACTTCTCAACTTTGCCATCGACTACATTCTGAAAACAGCTCTGAGGGAATTACATGACAGTAGTGTAGAAACGTAACTTGGAAACTGTCGGACCTTCAGTAGGTGAATGACCACCGTTTTATGCAGTTATATGCAACGTATCTAAATCACGTTTAATAAGCTTTAAGTTAGTGTACGGCATGTACTTTTTAAATGCAAATCACTTTGACAAAACTGGCAGGAACCGATGTTTTTACAAGAATACTGCAGTGATCCATTAGTAATCGGAAAGTTCGTGAGTGCTGGTTTGAGCATGATGGACGAAATGACTCTACATGCGAAAGGGTATTTTGCGTAGCTGTGCAAAGTTACTAATTATTTCCATGTTTTTCTACAAGCTAAAATTACGCAAAGATTCTAACATTGTCTAAAAAATTTCTCACAATTTCTTACGATTCTCATGATTTACAGATTCGCTTCAAACATTTGTATCTAGTTCATTAACTGATGTGCATCAAAATTTTCTCCTCGTCATATTACTATTCGTAAATTTAGGCCGTTTGCAACTGAGAAGCTTCGAAAAAGAATAAATCGATTCTACCCAAGAAATTTTGTTATTTATTTGTTTTATTCTTTTGGTTTAATTTCAGAATATTATCTATTTATTTTTGGTATCCGGTACAGTTGTACCGGAATTTATGTATATTACACAAATGAAATGGTATTTGATGAGAGTTCCAGTTTGAACTCAAGTCGTTGGATAATTCCACTGCTAAACAGTGTGCCAGACTTTAGGAATATCATGAATTTGCCACAATCACACACACAGTAAATATACCAGATACTCAACACTCTAACCTTGAAAATTGTTTTCTTTAAACATAAGCACACTTATACCTCTTATCCCTCGTGAAGGAGAATAGGCCACTTACCAGCATTCTCCATCCAACCCTGTCCTGAGCAATCCTTTTCATATCTGATTCCATTTCCCAGCGTAATGTGTTCTTTGGCCTTCCTCTTTTCTGCTTCCTTTCAGGATTCCGAGTTAGGGCAGGCCTACTGATACAGCTTGATGATTTTCATAATGTATGTCATATCCACTTCTGGCGGCTTTTCATAATTTCCTCTTCAGCTGAAGCTGGTTCGTTCTCTCCCACAGTAGGCTGCTGCTGATGTTTTCCGGTCAACAAATATTCAATATCTTACATAGACAATTGTTTATAAATACTTGTACCGTTTTGATGATGGTTGTAGTAGTTTTCCAAGTTTCAGCTCCGTACAGTAGGACAGTCTTGACATTCGTATTGTAGATTCTAACTTTGATATTGGTTGACAGTTGTTTAGAGTTCTATATGTTTCTCAATTGTTGAAATGCTGGCTTTGCTTTGCCAACCCGTGCTTTCACGTTTGCATCGGATCCTCCTTGTTCATCGATGATGCTGTCCAGGTACGTAGAAGTTTCCACCTCTTCCAGAGTTTCTCCATCAAGTGTGATTGGGTTGGTGCTCTCTGCGTTGTATTTCAGGATCTTGCTATTTCCCTTGTGTATATTGAGGCCTACTGATGCAGGGACTGCTGCTACACTGGTTGTCTTCATTTGTTCATAAACATCAACCCAGAATTGCTTCAATTTGTTTTTTATTGTTGAATTGAATCTTTCCATCGATGTTTAGGACTGCAATTGATCAGCCAATTATTGGCATATGTGCATCCTGTACGAAGACAAAATTGAATTGAAAACTCAACCCATTTCACAAGCTAGTGGCTATCATAGCTCAGTAGTAAAGTGGATAACACGATGGCGCTTGAAGCGAACGGTGCTGAGTTCGAGTCCTAGAACGATCATCAACTTTGAAATGCAGGTTCATCCAACTGACGGGTCCGAAGTAGGAAGGAACGCGCGTCCTGGATCCCACTGCTAGCCACCATCCACGTTTGCTTATAACATTGTTCGTTATATATTAATTCCTCATTCAACTTGTGAATAGATATTATCATAAGTAGCTCATGTTTCCTTACTATTGTTTGTTTGATGCTACCTACTTTCACCTCGAAGTTCATCTTCAAATCATTGCCTGATTTTCATACAAAACTTGTAGCTAATTTTCAGAATGACTGTCAAATCTTTTCATGAACAAAATTCAACAGCCAACATGTTGACCAATAAATTTACTGCTTTGTAGTTGCAAAAACAAGCAATGTACAAGTGAAGCCCTGAAAAATGATAAATCGTCACGGATAAGCAGTATATAATTACGAAAACATTATAAGATACCTACAATAAATTATTCATAAATACACAGGAATAAGTTTCTAAAAATACTAGCTAAGTAATCAACAATAATGTATTTTTGCCATTTCTGAAATATGATCTATACATAAATATGTTGTATGAAAGACATTACATGAGTTTCAATAAAAATTACACTTGAAGACAAGGTAGTTTATTTTTAAATAGCTGAAAATAAACAACTAATATGAAGCCTAAGATTGCACCGAGTGCTGCTCCGAATTGTGTAGATAACCCAGCTAATCTGAGTCGCGTTGGTCTATGGGAATGGCTAGACAAACTCATCCATATCCATGTGCGCAAACTGGCAAACAAACAGCGTATCGCAATCCAAGCCAAGATCTATAGGATTTAGAAGACAATAAATAATCTAGTGTAAAAATCATTTATGTATTACAGTATTTTGCACGTTTGTCAAATTATAGGAACAATCCTTAGTTATTTGATAGCTTAGTGTTCATGACCAAGTGATGTCCCCGTATCACCAAACATCCCTAACTACATTCATATTGGAACATACTCTAACCATTAATATTGCAGAAAGTCGGGCAGTGAAGCATTAATCAAGGTGGCTCCACTTCAAACAGTATATATAAGTTAAGCAAACGGGTTAAAATGATACTAGCAGTAGTAATAATAAACTAGAAAAACAAACAAATTAATAATAAATATATGCTCAGAATTTACGAGTAGATCAGTTATTAACAATCGCACTGATAATAACAAGTTCTTAATCATTTTAACCCTAGTCTCAAAAGTAGATTTTCGGAATCTCATGAATTCTAATAACAAAACCAACAGTTCTCTGTACAGTTCCTGTAGATTAATATAACGTTTTTATCCGAACACCCTGAGGTTCAATTCTTCCTATTTGAACTAGTATACCAAGGTGACTTGATATACGTTTAATTACCTCAATTAATGCATATGCAAACTTCCATTAACCGTACTGTCACCATCACTTATCTCCTAAATTCAATAATGCTTATTCAATAGGTCCCATCATCACATAATCAAGTTTTCTTTTATCTTCTTGACATTTCGAAAAAACGACTTTTGTCTTACAGTCAATCATTAAAACAGGCCATTTGGACGAATTAGAACAACAATTTCATAGTTCAACACCAACAATCAAGATGCATACATGGATGCATTGATTGACAGATAAGATAAAAAATTAATAACCCATTGCAAAAAGTCCTGTTTTACGTTAAAATTCACCAGAAAATTCAATGCATCATAAAATGTATTTCCGTTTGATACTAAATTGGTCGTGACATTAACAGAAATGAGCTACGTTCAATCATGGATAGAGAATGAGTATACGAAAAAATAAGGTCGTATAATATAGTGATCAAATAAATAGTAAAATATTGTTTTGTACTAAGCAAGCATAGTCATTTATCGAAATTTTTAAGTACAAGTGGTACTTGCTGGTTATTAAGAATGAAATTATATTTGTAGAAATCTAAGTGATTGAAACAGAGCAGTTCGGACCAGTGATGCGTTTCTTAGATAGCATATCTTCACATCAAAAAGATTCAATACTTCACTTCTACCTGAAGTTTGCGCTTATTATGTTGTTCAGAAGAAAAAGGAAAGCTCCACTACCAAACCATTCAGCCCAGAGAACGAAACTCCACCAAAAAGATTCAATATATGAAGATGGCTGGTTATTTATTTGGTACAAATTTATCTTTGTGATTCTATTTATCATTAAGCGAAGAAATTATTTGGATTCAATCACTGAGATCTTAATAAATATGATTAGATTTCTAATCTTTTCTACAAATAAAGTAAATGAACCCACTCACCAGGTATTTGAGTAGAAGTCACACTCTAAGTGTGAGGGGTTAATGCTGCTATCCGGTTGCCTAAACTGATATAGGTGGAACGAAATTTTTCTATAATCTGGGTATTTAATTTCTATCCATTTTTCACAATTGGGGAGAAAAATCAAATCTACATATAACTCGTATTTCATCAGGTTGTAATTACGCTAGGTGTTGATAAAGTGCTAACACATTCTTATTGACTAAGGCTGGGAAGCCTTATAATTTGAAAATAATTCATTAAAATAAAAAAAGGAAAAAAACAATAAAAAAAGATGTAACGTACAGCAGTGGCAGAACCGAAACCACCCAAATATGGTGGATTGGGACTTGAACTCGCCAAATATATAACGTAAGCAACAGGTAACAAAGAGATGAGTGAAATACCAATCCATTTATTTTGAAGTGAACGCGTATATGCATTATGCATAATTATGTCAGGTTTTTGTATGTAACAAATTTGATTCTGTTCATTTAATTCATGGTTCATAGTTTGCAAATTTTCGAATGTTGATTCATCAGTACTATCTATTTCCCTAGAATAATGATTGACAAGAAATGTAGTTAATACTGTCATTGCAGCAGAGAATGATCCTGACAGTGTAACTGCTAAATGATATGTAAGCGAGCCATATGCAGCACATGAATAAGATTGTATGGCTGGTAGAAATCCATAATTTGATGCACTAATGTAAATGATAAGTAAGCATGATAAAAATGTGTTTGGTCCAAGCTGTTTTGTAATATTAACATCATTATGAGACTGTACAGTTTGTTCAATATGATTCAACACAGAAACATCAACTAGAAAAATAGGCAAAAGGGGATTTAAAAGAGGAATACTGAACTGAACTTTATTGTCCAATGTTTAAAAGAGAAAACTAAGATATATTTTTCCAATAAAAAATATGAATTCACGTTGTTATTATAATAACTCAACCTGCAAGTGAACGGTTAGCAACTTAAGCTGTGATATGGCAAACAGTATGGAGATATAACTTTTGGGGCTACAATATGTAGGATTATTATTTATATATTCACCGTTAAATTAGCAGACGCTTAGATTGTTTCATATTTATATTTTGATATTACTAAGCTTTCGTTTGACCTATATGTCATTGTCATATATATCTTATTTCAGATTTATCGTTAATTGCTCATTTCCCCAGTATTATGGTTTTTTACGACTTATGACTAGGCTAAGTGAATACTGTAATTTCCCAAATATGTTGCTGTGTATTTAGGTATTTCAGGTACATTATTGTATAAGCTTCGAGTTAGTACTGAATAAAATAAAGAACTAATCGGCTACCTATCTGTCTTCTAATTGGACACTGAGTTAAAAAGAGCTCAAGGACCGATAAGCATGGGAAAACTAAAATTTATGGACGACTTCTGAGCAACACTAAAATTACCTTTAGAAACTTCAAACACTTACTAGGTTCGAAATGGAGTTGTGAATCAATGTGAGGGACTAGGACTGACATTTGACCATAGCGGCGAATGAATTTCGTGCTACAACTCAGGAGGTGCTACTTGAGATCTGGTTGGTTCATCCATAAATCATAGTGTTGGGATATTCAGGAAAATATCCCAGAAACTATTCTATTAAGTTTAATGCTATTCTTGGACTTGGAGATGGTATTATTTACTTATTGGTCAGTACTTATTTCAAGTGTCATTTCCCTACTGGTCAATATTGTATAATGTTATTTTCTATTTTATGGTACGTTGTGGTCTGCTTGACTGGTATATAAACAAAGTATGTTTGAAATATAATGATTCATATATCCGAGGCTGTGACTTGCGTTCTGGACTCAACTGCTGGGCTAGATAGGGGAGCGGGACCAATCAGAACCCTAGGTCGTTCTACGTGTTTGTGCGTCTTTGGTTCGATCGATAATTCGCTACCCTCAAATCTGCCGTCACAGTTATAGCACATAGTTCTACCATAAGAATGAAAGTCTTGGTTGTTGTTTATTGGTCACTGTATCGGCTGCTAAATAGAAAGTCACCGGTCCTACTGACAATATAAACAAACTGATCGATAGTTGGACTAAAAAAAGATCATACAACTGTTCCTATAATTACGGCACGACCGCAATTAAAGTAGAACAATCCAAGCAATCCCTTCCCCTCATTTCAATATTGTATTAGTCTGGTACCTAAACGGTTGATAATATCTTATAACCACTTTCTATTTCCCCAGGACCTCCAACAATTGAACATAAAACGGAAGAAAATAGGGGAAAATTATGAAAAAAGCTTCACCTCGATGGTAGGTTAATGTAAAAAAAGCATGAATATTTTGGGTTCATGGATGACCTTGATATTTTGAAAGCTCCTGAAATAAAATTAGTAACAAAATAGGTAATTATTCAACCAAAATATGACATAATCGATGGATTTTCTAGGTTTGCAGGAAATTTCTATTCGTTGCTTGTTTTGATAAAACATTTTCAGTCTTTCCCTAGCTTCTAAAGACACTACCGATGACCTCTCGAGGAATCTCAACACAAGTGTTTCAGGTCTTTATAGAAACCATGGTACTCAGTACTAAACGTTACCTAACAGGCTTTCTTACCAATCATTTAATGATAAAAAAATTACATGAATATTGCTTGAGGTTGACTAAACAGGCGAAAATGAGTTTCAGGGACTACATCAAACAGATGAAAATCACGTGGAATAGGTAGAAATAAATTCATTACCGAATATTACTACCATTGTAAATGCATATTTCTTATTTGAATGTCTTGCAGGTGAACTAAACCTCAAAGAATCACATGTTTTAATTTCACATATTAACGCAGATTCATGTTATAACTGGGACAATGGCCTTGTAATTTTTCACGTGAAATGTGAAAAGGGCAACATGTATCGTATTTTTTGTGCAAGTCACAATCACGTGATAGAACACCTCAAATCGTATGTCAAATGTGTATGTCCAAACGCCCACATACAATCGAACTGTGGGATATGAGATAATCCATATCGAGAACATCAAATTGCTCATAACATATCAATAAGTAAACCCTACATTATTTCGTCGAGGCGGAGATATAGGCACGCGATGCAATTGTTATATCCCGACGAGAACAATGAGTGGTAACTGTTGTCATCAATTTATGGATAAATACTATACATATATCTTTAATGTATAGTTGTTAAGTCACTACGCATATTCACGTTCCTATTATTATAAACTTCATTTTGACCCATAGACTATTATTATACGATTTACCATTCTTAAGTTCTGCCCAGTCTATTAATTACAGTTTCTCTCAATTACAGTCACTTTTTGACTTGATCTTGTGCAAATGTTATTTTCTATTTTATGTTGTGAAGTGGTCTGTTTGGCTTCCTTTTTATTAACTTATTTATTAATTTGAACACAAAAATATTGGTACAAGAAAGCACCAAATATACATGCGCCACAAAAAACAATGAGAATTCGAAGAGAAAAAAAAGTTGAGGAGCGTGAAAAAAGAACAATAACGAAAAGATTAGTGTAAGCTAGTGTAATAATAATAATAATAATAATAATAATAATAATAATAATAATAATAATAATAATAATAATAAAGGAAACGGAAAATCACAATCAGAAGAAATCCTTCAGGTAATGGAGACACAACCACATTTTATGAAGAAAGTAAAAGAAGGTTACACCAGGATCGCCACTGGCTTCTATTCTGAGCCATATCTGATAACGTCTCTAACCACTGTGAAGCACCATCTCGAGGACCCCAACCAGAGAGACGTGAAGGACGAACACAATCCAGCCCTTTGCAACTTCCCTTCATATCACGACACCATGTCATACACTGACTACCTCTCCGCTTCTTCCAACCAGTCCCAGAGTCGGCAAATAATGCACGAGGTGGAATTCTCTGGGACGACATTCGTAGAACATGTCTAAGCCACCGAAGTCGGTGTTTCAAGATGGTGACACCAATTGCACTGTTGTCTCTGTGCCCGAGCACAAGATGCCGAACCTCTGCATTACTAACATGGTGTTGCCACTGGATGTCAGCAATCCTTCGGAGACAACGATGATCGAACACAGAAAGTCGTCTAACGTCCTCAACTCGGAGAGGCCAGGTTTCACAAGCATAAAGCGAAACTGATCTCACCGACGCGTTGTAGATCCGACCTTTTACAGCCAGACTAACATCATGAAGGCACCAAAGATGACCCAGATTGGCATAAGCCGCTCTGGCTTTCATCATACGTGCATTGATCTCATCACTCACGCCACCACTAGCACTTATGCAGCTACTCAGATACACGAACTTCTCGACTACTTCTATCTGCTCACCATCCAGAGTGAGTGCATGGTTAGAATCCTGCCAGTCTTGTAGAAGTACTTTGCACTTCGAAGGTGCAAAGCACATACCGTACCTACGGACACTGATTGCTAAGTGATTAAGTGCGGATTGCATGCCTTGGGCATTGTCGCACAGTAAGACAATATCATCCGCATACTCAAGGTCGAGAAGTCTTTCTTCAGGCAGCAGATCCACACTACCATTACTTACATCCATCAGAGCTGTTTGCAGAATGTCATCGATGGCAAAGTTGAAGAGGAATGGTAAGATTGGGCAACCCTGCCTAACCCCACTACTCGAATGGAACAATGGAGAAAGGTGGTTGTATGCCCTCACTCTGCCTGAAGTGTTTTTATATAGGGCTTTTAGGATGTTAATAAACTTCTCAGGCACACCCTTCTTTAACAGACAATCCCAGAGAACAGTCCTGTCCAACGAATCAAAGGCAGCTCTGATGTCAAGAAACACTACAATTGTTGGCCTTTGATAAGTATGACGGTGTTCTAACATTTGGCGGAGGGTGAAGATATGATCAATACATCATCGACCAGAACGAAAACCAGCCTGCTCCTCGCGAGTCAATCTTTCTCGGGTTTTGAACAACCTACGAAGTATGACGGAAGCCAATCGCTTGGACGCAATCGGAAGTAGACTTATCCCCCGATAGTTGTTACAGGAACGACGTGAACCCTTTTTATAGATAGGGACAACTATCGACTCATTCCATGACGTTGGTACACTCTCTAGTTCCCAAACCTTTGTAAACAACACAGTCAGTTCCTTAGTCAGAAAGTCACCATCATCTTTAAAAAGAGCCAGAGGTAAGTCATCTGAAAAGTAAGGTAAGATTGGCGCAGACCAAGGCATGCTCAGAGTCCAGATAGGTACTCCAAAAGTAGCGGCAGTCTTGTACACAACCACGCCAGCGATAGCTGATCGCGATGTGATCAATCTGAGTCCAGGCTTGGGGTGCACAGGGAGGACGCCAAGTGGCACATCGACGATGACTGTGCCGGAAGTTAGTGCTAGCCAGAAACAGGTTGTGGTCTGTGCACAGTTGCAGTAGACGGTTCCCATTATCTGTCCTGCGACCAACAAGTCCCCATCGGCCACCTAAACGACTCTCTTCTGTGCCTAGACACTCGACCTGAGCATTCAAGTCTCCGGCTAGTACTACAATATTCGTCGAACGCACTTTCTGGAGAAAAACAGATAGCTGGTGGTAAAATTCATCCTTGATTTCATCCGGGCTGCAATCTGTTGGGGCATAGGCGGAGATGACGAAAAAACATCGTTTCTCACGCTGATTTCTTCTCATTCTGATGGAACTTTCTAATCTAACAGCACATAAACAACCGATTGTTAATGGGGATCCAATCGATTAGTGCTGCCTCAGCTCTAGCGCCTACTGCGACACCAACGCCAGCAAGAACAGACGAAGATGCCACAGCGTCTCCGGATAATCGCACGTAAAACAAGCTTTTCGAAGCGACAGATCGAGAACGAATTTGTAGTACTTCACCACAGTCTTGAATACGAGTCTTGGATAGACAAAAACGTCGATATTAAGACTTTACAACAACATAACCAGCCCTATCTGTTGTCCAACCTGCATAAGTGTGCGAACGTTGAAGGTAGCTAGTTTGAATGGTGCACGTGGCTTCAGAAAAACTGCTTCAGTACTCATATTCGGTAGAAGCGTACAATTTTCAACCGGACAGTGACTCGAGAACGTTCAGATAGAGTCGAATTTCCACCATAGACGAGCTGCTGTATAAGTCGAGAAAATAAGTATAGACAGAGTAGGAATAAAAGAGGATGAATAATGATGTAGTAAATAATAATAATAATAATAATAATAATAATAATAATAATAATAATAATAATAATAATAATGTGAATCGTTTGATTGTTAATCGAGGCAAGACAAGTATTTTTCATAAATATCAACATTTCATCATATTTGTGTGTGGGCTGTGATACTGTCCGGGTGCCAAGACCGAAGCAGGTGGTTATCTTAAGGGGCCCCACACCCCGAGCCTTCGACCTAAAAGTCTGTTCCCCAAGGCTGTGGAGCATCGTGAGGAGATGCAGTCCCATGGTAGCCGGTGACCAACGATTGATTCATACGCCATTTGTTCCCGCAGGATACTGGAGCCCATGGTTTGTATATAAACCCAGTATGTTTGAAATATTTTATTCATATCGCAGAAGCTGAGATTTGTGTCCTGGACTCAAGAAGGACCGATAAGGACTCTAGACTGCTCGTACGGTTTTACGCGTCATTGGTCCAGTTGATATGTCACTATTCTCTAATTGGCGGTATCATTACGTTATATAATAATAGGGCATAATGCCACAAGTAATGGCAGAGAGATTTGGTGTCACAATGCTGATCCAATCTTTTCAAATTATTGTAGGACAAAGACTACCTACAAACCTAGAGGGTAAGTTAACACGTGGCAGTGGAAAATATGATTGTCGTTGAGCGTGTTCATATATAATTTGGTATTTTTATCCCTGTATATTTATTTTTGTTGTTCGAGTTTACTGGAATATAATTTGTCCCTTTTCGATTCTTATTTTAATTTATTATACCAGAACTCATCGATTTACGCTTAAGAACATACTTTCAATTCGACAATAAAATCTGCGAATAGATGAATGGAACACCATAGGGATTACCAATATCAGGACTTATTGCAGAGGCAGTGATGCAAAGACAGGAAACCTCGATTTTACCAATGATCAAGCCAAAAATGTGAATTCGTTATGTGGAAGACACATAATTCATCATTAAAAAAGACGAACTAGAAAACACCTACAATTTGATCAACAATGTCTTCGTTGACAGGAAATTCACATTAGAAAAGGAGTCGAACAATAAACTATCATTCTTGGATGTACTGATCACCGGAACCGAGACTGAAAAACTGCAGACTTAAGTATATCAGAAGCCAACCCACACAGATTAAATTCTCAACTACAGTAGTAACAACTCAAGAACTCACAAAATCAACTCCGTACAAATTCTGTCCAAAAGAGTGAGAACATACTGTAACACACTCCAACTCACCAGCAAAAACGAAGTCAAATATAGAAGCCGACAAACAAATCACCCTACCATATATAAAAGACAGATTAGAAATTACGATATTATTGAAGCCATTTAAAATAGATGAGGTACACAAGTCAGTGAAATCACTTCAATCAATTCACATGCAAAAGGAGGGATGAAAGATCAGAAGAAAAACCCAACATTATTTACAAGATGAGCTGTCCAAATTATGAGAAAAACTACATCGCTTGCACAAATATTAACTAGAGGGCAAATGCCATGATATATCTTCGTTTATACCAATGGATGTGGACAGCTGTGGACATACACTCGACTAGAAAAAAATGTTGAAAACTAGGATAGAGGGGATATTAAGAACACCAGGGAATTTTTAACTTGGGACTCAAGTTAATTAGGAATTAACAAACATATCGAAATCGATTCATCGACCAATCGGAAAAATCATGAACAGATATAAAATCAAGAATCAGATCAAAGAGAGATGTAATCAAAATGAAGATGTAGATAACGCCAAGTTGAAAGTCAACAATAACCAATTAAGATTAAAGTCGATAGAACAACCTATAGATCATATGTGGATAAATTCGTAAATTTCACTTCTACCTGAAGTTTTTGATGTTGTTGAGAAGAAAAATGTAGGCTCCACGACCAAATCATCCATCACAGATAACGAAAACCCAATAAGATTGTCCACCTAAGCTACAAACCCTTTCTCCCACTTAATAATTATATGTGCACATACTAGGCATTAGAAGAGTGTAACATTAACAACATAGAACATGATCATTAAAAATGGATGACATGAAATTGTTAATCCATCTGTACATAATGACCATATGAACGATAACTCTTATTATTAATATTGTCATTGATAGTAACAATAATGACAACAATAATATAAATGATAGTAATAATAATAATAATAATAATAATAATAATAATAATAATAATAATAATAATGATAATAATAATAATAATAAATTTCAGTAATCTAGTAGATCTATAGATGTCAATCCACTAACGACGGGAAGAATCAGGATGTCCATCAGACAAATCAAGAGCGGGAAAGCAGCAGGATCCGACAATATACCAGCTGAAGCACTGAAGTCAGGTATCGAAGTAGCTACAAACATGCTTTACCTTCTACTCAAGAAGATTTGGGAGGAGGAACAAGTGCCGATGGACTGGAAAGGACAGCTCATCAAGATATCAAAGGAGATCTGAGCAAGTCTGAGAACTACAGAGGCATCACATTTCTGTCAGTACCAGTAAACGTTTCAACAGTGTTGCTGAACCGGATGAAAGATTCAGTAGACGACCAACCTCGAGATCAACAGACCATATTCCCCAGGGATCGGTCGTGCATAGACCAAATCGCAACATTACGGATCATCGTTCAACAACCAGTTGAGTGAAAATCGACACTATACATCAACTTCATTGACTATGAGGAGGCGTTTGACAATGTGAATAGGAGGACTTTATAGAAACTCCTTCGACACTATCAGTGATTAGCTGAGAAAATCGTTAACACCACTCAAAATTGATGGAAGGGACTACACTGCACAGTGGTCCATGGAGGACAGTTGACAGATGCATTGGAAGTGAGGACCAGAGTCAGACAAGGTCTCTTACTCTGCTCCTCCCTCTTTCTCCTAGTGGTTAACTGGATTATGAGGACCTCGTTAGCTGAGAGGAAACACGGAATATAATGGACAGCTCGAAATCAATTAGACGATTTGGACTTCTCAGATTATCTGACCCTCCTATCCCACACACACGAATAAATGCGGATGAAGACAACGAGTGTAGCAGCAGTCCCTGCGTCAGTAGGCCTCAATATACACAAGGGAAATAGCAAGATCCTGAAATACAACGCAGAGAGCACCAACCCAATCACACTTGATGGAGAAACTCTGGAAGAGGTGGAAACTTCTACGTACCTGGACAGCATCATCGACGAACAAGGAGGATCCGATGCAAACGTGAAAGCACGGGTTGGCAAAGCAAAGCCAGCATTTCAACAATTGAGGAACATATGTAACTCTAAACAACTGTCAACCAATATCAAAGTTAGAATCTACAATACGAATGTCAAGACTGTCCTACTGTACGGAGCTGAAACTTGGAAAACTACTACAACCATCATCAAAACGGTACAAGTATTTATAAACAATTGTCTATGTAAGATATTGAATGTTTGTTGACCGGAAAACATCAGCAGCAGCCTACTGTGGAAGAGAACAAACCAGCTTCAGCTGAAGAGGAAATTATGAAAAGCCGCTAGAAGTGGATATGACATACATTATGGAAATCATCAAGCTGTATCAGTAGGCCTGCCCTAACTCGGAATCCTGAAAGGAAGCAGAAAAGAGGAAGGCCAAAGAACACATTACGCTGGGAAATGGAATCAGATATGAAAAGGATTAACAACAACCGGATAGCTGAAAAGGATTGCTCAGGACAGGGTTGGATGGAGAATGCTGGTGAGCGGCCTATTCTTCTTCACGAGGAGTAACAGGTGTATGTAAGTAAGTAATCTAGTACATGTCAGTGTACGGTTCTTTGAGTTATATTTTTTGTTAGAAAATAATATTATTTAGCCACATAAATTGAAATTTAAAAGTAGTTCAGTCAGTAACTGTAGAAATTACCAAAAGGTTTGTTTTCTCTATACAATTATCATTATACCCAAGCCTTTTCAACATAATAAACTTATTCTTTGTTTTCACTTTCAATTCATAAAAATGTCGTCATAAAATCAAATTCATATAATTCCATAAACAAAAGTAAAACAAAACAAAATAGGAACATACCATTTTGACTGTTTTCGAAGATATCATTAGAAATATGTTGATCTTCATTTGATTTAAATCTTTCTAGATTATTGTGACTTATGCTATGAATATTTGCATTAGATTTTAATATGAAATTAGTTTTTCGATAATGTTCATGAATAACTTGACCTAAACCAATAGGTGAACAATCCAATAATGTGAATGCAGTTAAAGATATCAATAAAACAATACATAATAGATATATGAATGTACTGACAGAGAAACGTGGTGGTGGATAAAAGGGGACCACACGAAGTGTATCATTAACTAAAGAAGAAAAAAAAACATACATAAATTGAAAGAATCATCAACAGTTTATCAGAATTGTTTATTTAATTATTAAGAAAATGTATGCCAATATCTTGATACATATTTGTTAGTATGTTTGTGTTATTTCAATTCAACACATTTTCGCTAAATATAAAAAAACATTACACTTGTAGTGTCTAGTACTATGTCAAGTTCACATAGGTTATTCTAGCTTTCAAATAGACCGATTGATTTATAACTAGACCTTATCAATTATTACTGACCTTGACTGTTTTTACATGAGCGTACTTGTATTGCTTACCTTATTCATCACATGTCTTGAGCTTATCTTCGTCTGAGCATAAATAGTGAGTCGCGTTTTATCAAATTGGATTGGCACATTGCCTTCACTTTGCTTCACTTTACCACTTCTCACCTTTAATGTCTGTCTGAATAAACGAATTCCTGATATAAATTTATTAAACTCAATCCGTATTTGACCTATTATTACACCATCGCACAAACGAGGTTAACCTAGGTGTAATATACGAAGTTAAATGGAAGATTTATATCCATGGCGTATTTAAAACGTGACTCAAGAAGAATAGACAAATTAGTCCATCCGGAAGCTAGAATAACCTATATAGGCTAGATACAGTACTAGACAATGCAAACTAACCGTTAACATTAATAACTAATAACTAGGAAGTAATCCCGTGGTTAAGGCATTTGATTTTCAAACAGTTGCAGGTTCAAAACCTACCTGGTATTATCTAAGTGGCCCTTCCTCTAATAACTAAAATGCGGCTTGAAGCCAAGTAAACGAATATGTAACCGGTAACTAAATGATAGTAATTATTTTTATTATTATGGCTATGAGAAAACTTAGGAAATAACCAAATCGGTTATTATATCAGCACGAAATCAACATAAAAACAGTCCTGTTAACCGATTTATCTATGTATCCAGCTTCTTAATTAACATAAGCATCTTAGCCTTACAGTTCAATTACGAGTCAAACAGCAGGGTAATAATAACTGTTAGTGAAAGTGAATGAGGTAAATTCGAACCCCAAAGAGATCGATTTTCTCAAAATAACAAATACATCTTGCTTTTAAGATCCGACTAACATGAAGCTTAAGTCCAAGGCTCTCCACTGAATCTTCGCAATTATTTAACATCACAACAGTGCATAAAATGACGAGTCACTCAGTCTGTTGGGTACATTACAACCTGATTGATAAGATTCAATCACACTTAGGGACTAGACAACATAACATAGCTTATTACCCAATGATTAGTTAGTTTAAATATTGGTATTGTGAAAGGGGGAGGATTCTAAACTCAAAAACTATGATTTACTTGTGATTAATAATCATGACAGTTAAGTGAAGGGTTCTGTCGCCACGTTGACAAGTACGCTATCTATCAGTCGGTTACATAAGATTTCCACTATAAGAGGATGAATGCCATTTGTTTATTTCGATTATTCACAGTTTTCATTAACTAAAGTGATATCAGCAGATTATGTATGGATCAGTAATGATAAAATGAGTAAAGTACACACTAATGAAATAACCATTTCATCCAAATACAAAAAAATTATTAGCACCAACAATAATATAGATGTAATATCATTTTAAACTTTGTCAGACAATTAGTTGTATGCATATGGAATCTAAGATAAAAAGAAAATCATACTAATTATACCTGTTTTATTGATACATTCCGGTTCTGACCCAACTCCTTGAATAAGGGCTAATATACTTGGAACTAAATCACTAAATGCTTCACCGAAATGTAATGCACCTACATACAATTGAGGCATTCCATTCAAATAGGTAATAAATGTAACCGATGATGTACAATCAACAATTGAAGCAAACAAAGCTAAAACAAATAATCCAATACTATGGTAACCGGGTTTTAATATTGATACATAAGCTACCGACTAAAAATAAGGAAAAAAAGATGACAATAAAAAAGTATGACGATGAAATGAAGATATACATACTGAGTGAATTGATATGAAGTATTACATTTATAAAAAAACGACAATTCATTTAACTACTGATGTGAATCAATGCTCTAATTACTCAGTTTTAACAAGTGAGTTGAGAGTTAAAACTTATTCTTTTTGCTAATGCTAAACGATAAATGTAGACAAGCACAACTCAATACGAAATAATAAATAAATTACTATATTTCAACGACCACTATATACAGTGATTATATTATTATCTTTGAGTAATTAAATTTACTGAATGTCCGATTATAATTAATGCGTTCTTCTACCGTTTACAATTTCTTGAAGAATATACATCACTCAATTCGATCCAAATCAAAACAAGAACCAAAGAGGACAATATATTTTTCAATAAACTCAAACAACAAAATCATTAGAGCTTATGTATATAATGTACATAAAAATATTCTAGCATTTTCCCGATTCATTCGCTGACATTGATTAATTAAAAAATACATTAGTGTATACTGATATGATTCTGAACACAATATTCAATAGTTAGGACTTTATTCAACAAACAATAATGGTAAAAGTTGATGTAAACCTTAAATACTCAAGTAGAGCTCGAACCTTTAATCTGATGAATTAAAATCGATTATCTAAACCGATCAGATAGAATCACAATTAAATAAAGACACAATTACAAATTTAACCCAAGAGATAATTAAATATTCAGAAATTTTGACGAGTAATTTGTGATTTTTTATGGGTCACATACAAGAATTTGTACCAAAATGTGATATTGTATATTTTTAAACATGATTTTAATAGGTCATTGGAAACTATGAAAGTGGTAACACAGTATTTTATTTTCTGTTTTAGAAATGATTGTAAGTTCAATTCTCTCATTTTAATTACCCAAATAGAAGCAGGATAACTTCGGTCATTAAAGAAGCGAAAACAATTAGCAATAAGTAGCAAAAAAAAAAATAATGACCATATCAACATAACTTTATCATTAAATATATTGATTTACAAAATATGAATTTAGAAGCTTGCAAAGTAAAGATAGAAATCCTAAAGTTTAGGAACTGTCATAAATTGTTTGCTAAGGATGAAATAACAAACCATGTAAAAATGTTACAAATATCCATTTAAAGACTTTGGGTTTAGAAAAAATGTTTGCATTAGGTAAAAAGCAACCAAATGCATAACCTCACAAGTGACTATATTCAAAAAAGAATAAGTAAATTTTCTCATTCAAAAATAATTATCTATACTTCGCTTCATAAAATGTAGGATTGTATCAAACGTGAATCATATTGATTTGAAAGATTTGAGTATTGACAGAATTATGACACAAAGAATGCCCATATTGGAAAATTGAAAAAATAAGCTGATAATATGATATATATACCAGAAGAGATAAACACAGTATTATCTTGGAAATTGATACACTTGTATACCGACTCAAGTGACTATAATTTTTATCAACATAAAGCAAAGAAGGCAACGGTTGTGAAGCGCGGTGTCCAAGATTTGATACTGATAAGCAATTTTACTATACACGAGCCCAGCTGGTTATTAGTGAAAAGACGGAGAGTGAGAAAGTTTATAACCGAAAGAATGAAAATAAGTCAGTAAGATGAAGATTATAATGTACCGAACGAAAAAGTACTCCAATTCAAAGAAAGCTGAGCAGTGAATGTGTCCACATCACTTGATCCGTTGTTTCACTAAATGACTTTCCCAGACTGCTTAGTCAGGAAGACAACATTATTACTTACATGACTTAAACCAACTTCTTAAAACTTAGTATATTGATCCGATCACTGAACATTTTTCGCCCTACTTCAACTCCAAGCAGCATGACTTAAATTTGATGATACAGCGTACAAAGTGTATCTCGATCAATGATTATACTACACAACTTCATCAAATAAGTATCACATTTTATCTAAAAATATACATCTGCATGCACCACTACTCGTTAAATTTACTAAACATAGATAAGAGATCTGCTGAAGGTGTCTGTAAATTAACAGTTGTGACACATTTAGACACTTTTCAACCGCTAATTAGGTACCATGAACTGTTGGTTAGTAGACTTGACCATTAATCAACATTAGGTTATGGTACTGCATTAATAGATGTTGTAAAAATTCCTAGTAAGACGTTATCCTGAAACAATGTTCTGTATTTACGAGGTCAAGACAAAAGTGAAGTAAAATGGGAAATGGATATCTCCGACAAAAAGCACCAGAAGTTACTTATAACATTATCAGTAAAAAGTGTTCCAAAGAGAATGTCAATTAGGTAAACTAATAATGTTAGTAAATTGATGAGTTTTTATTGGGGTCAAACAAAACTCGTAAGGATTAGTTTTCCTTGATTATCAACAAAATTCTAGTGATGAATTCAGACTGAATCTAGGTAGCATGTTGTTACATAATACATTGAGATGGCAACTTAAATTATTGTCCACACAACCATATACCATCTGATTTTTTTTTCTTCTTGAAGGTGAAACAGTATTTCAAACTATCAGCACGACTAAAAAACAACACTTCGAATGTCAGTAGTGAAGGTGAAAACAGCTTTAATTTCCTCGACTCTCCAGAAAGTCTTGGTCTAAGAGGTCTGATGAATAAAAAATATATGTGTAAATTTTTTATAGCATTATGAGCATGATATCACAATTTTGAGACTCTGTTTGCTCATCCCAGAATATGTCATTCAATTCGCAAACTTCGGTTTGTATTGTGGGATGGTGAGTTATTGACTGATATCTTCCCCTTCATTTTCATTAAGTTCTTATACTTACAAAAGACTTTCTGTGTTTCAATAAGTTATTTCATTCGATTTATCACAAACCATTATGACGAAATGAACAGATGTATATCTGTGCCAAATTTTAAGCCATTAGAAATAATTCAAAATTAAATACTAATCAAAGGAATGCAACTTAACTATTAACTTACACCGCCAACTAAAAAGCATACATGTGCATAGAAAAATTAACGAATTTTCAGTTAGAATAATTATCATTCAGTTGAAATTATTCGAGATATTAGAGAATAAACGACAAACTAATTCATATCAAATTATTTCGAAACTGCTAAGGTAAATTTATGTATCAATGCCCAGGTTGAACTTGATAGTTTTAAATAAATTGAGTATCGGGTAGAAAGCTAATAATAAATATTTTGATATATCCCAATGACTAGAAAATTGTATTTTTGACGTTTCATGACTTCATGTAAGTCACTTCTTCAGAGTAAATAAATAACCGAATTAAATTACAAAAGTTTAAATAGTACAAAGGAGAAATGGTGAATATCTGTAGTAAAATCAAAATCGCAATAGGTTTAAACATGTCAAAGTCATGTTATTTTGGTCAAGATGATTCTCTATGACATATCAATTTGTGTGTAAGAAGGTTTCTTCAGTAAGACAATAACAGCTCTATGCATATTTGTCAACATTTTCCAACGCATAGTTCAATAAAGAACTGCAGTTTTCTTGATAATCAAAAGATAAAATATATTTAAATCTAGCGAACATAACAGTACTTACGTTCCAAAACTGCGAAATCAATATGCATGATATTAGACCGACAGCGAGTATTAAATAGTTGGTTATCCTTTCAGGTGGTTGTAAACAACGTGAACAAAATCCATTTGTTTTAGCTTGGAAAAATTTTGTCAACGGAACATAGACCATTGGTCCCACATTTGCTATCTGGTAATGTATAAACAAGAAAAATATGGAATATCTGTACTTAAGGACAAACAGAAAATGTAAAGATGTGGACAAATAAACAGTTAGATTCTACTCCTCCATACGTCATTCAGTCAACCACATTACTAGTAGCACGCACGTTTTTATACGGTTTAAACAGCTACGAAGTACGTTTCCTGGCAGTCGACTACGCAAACGAATATTATATCTACTGTGCAATACTCCCTTTGGTAATAATAATATGAGTGTCCTACAAACATTCTTCTTGATTGTAAAATTGTTTCTAGGGAAACTATGGGTGGTGTTCGCATCATAGAATGATACTATGTTAACAAGGCTACCGAGATCAGAGAGTGTCGGACAGTCGCTTCATTTTATTTGGGATTTTTCAATAGAGTTTACTTATCGTTCTTCCCAGGATATTATCCAGGATTTTGACGTCCCGCAATTTGTACATTGGTTCTGATTAACTGAGTTTAAAGCCAATCGTTAAAATTTCCTAAAATTAAACTACTTTACTAAGCAATTGTGATAATGAAGTATCAGTCATCATATAAAAATTCTGGGAAAGAAAAAAAAGAATTTTATTCTCATCAGAGGTTACAAGATTTTTATGTCGAGGGAAGCCATTTGATTGCTAAAACGACTAGCTGAGATCAGGATTCGAATGAAGATTATGGTATGAAACATGGAGACAGTAGAAATATAAAAGAAAATTCATATAGTATGAAACCAAATAAAATAGACTATTTGGATAAATTCAGTCTTCTCATATAGAGTAAACAATAAAGTTAAAATTGATAATTAGACACATTAAACTCTTTGTGAAGGTTTGTATGAAGTACAGATTCTCATAAACGAAAGGGAGCCTATTATTAGATGTTTATTTTCATAGAGAGAAAAATCCCTGATACAGTAGTAACTGAAAGACTAATTTCGGCAACCAAACGTTATCTTAACTTTGTATGTAGCTTTATGTGTATTTAAAGGCAGTACCGAGTTTCCAACACAAATCACAGATCAGAAACGTGACAAATACCTATGCCCTTGACGGAATGGCTATCTACAGTAATAAAATAACAAACGATCTATGAAGTTCCAGGGTCTCTATTATAACTAATTTACAAAATCTTTTGGTAAATTAGCCTAAGCTATAGAAGTTCTAAGCAAATCACCTGACAGGTGAGATTTCGCGAAAATGATAGAGTCAGAAAAAATAACTGGTACCGTCTGGCACTTCACGAAGTGTTGGGAGACTTAAAAACTCATAACATGAAAATCAAACCAAAGTAACCATCAGAAAACGCTACTAGGATAAGGCACCAATCCGCAAATCTTTAAAAAGTAATGATTGCGTAAAGCTGATAAAAACATCGGTGAAATACACTGTGACTGAAATTCTTACTATATATATTAATGAATTTTTTATATTTTATTCGATTAGAGGTCATACGTCCGAAAGTAAATACCTATAACGTTGGTCTGAAATTCTCGTTATTTTATTTCCCTATTATCAGCCATGGACGTTCATGAGGGCTTAACAAAAAACAATAAATATTACGTAAAATAACCTGTGCAGGATATTAACAAATATATTTATGCATGTAGATTATGATTTTGAGTAGTGCTATAAGAAGCATAAAGATGAGTTGAAGACTTCGGTAATATTTCAAGCCCTTATTTCGTTATTTTCAATTTGATTTTAGCATTTAACACCGATAAATCTAGGTAGTATTGGGATATATATTATCTATAATCTAAAGTACTTGTATAATGATTATCAGGTAAGCAGGCAAACTCCAACCTTCTGGTAGAACATTGACCAATAACGGTAGTTCAACCCATAATCCATTAACAACAATCCATGATCCTAGACCATATAAACTGACAAAACAAGCTGCAAGCCATGTGAACTTTATGTCATTTTTTGATGGGACCATGCTAAAATGCGGAAATAAAGTTATGTGCAAATATATTTAAGAAAACTAAATAACATTAACATCATGAATAGAGATTAATTTTAGCTGTTAAACAAATAATTATTGGAATAAATAATTACAAAATCAAGGCAATTTAAAAATCATTTGATATTGGGTTTTTTACAGTTTATGTAGATAACTAACATTCACTTAAAAAAACACTAAGAGTACTGGAGCAACCTCAAATAATAATGACCCAAATTTAGAGAACGTTCCATCAAAGATAAAATTCTGATGCAGACTTGCACCAATTTAACTCAAATAAATTTTAATGTGCCAAATGCACCAATTTTTACGTTGCACTAAAAGTGAATATCTTAGTACTTAAATGTTGTTTTTATCATTTGAACTAACGTGATGGCAAATAATATCCAGAGCAATCCATGAGGCTTTTTATGATCGAGTTAGTCTCAAGAAGTAAAAACGCTGAAAATTATTTTCTAGAGTTGCGGCTACTAAACTATCAGGAACAAAAAATCAATATTACTAACAAACTATTCTTTTCATCAACAGTATGTATATATTTTACGACTCATAGTGCACTCGCAATAAAAGTAAAAGATGACCTGAATTTATTTATTTGAGCACATAAATATTGGAACAAGAATGCGACACAAAAAACAATGAGAATTTAAAGGGAAGGAGAAAAAAAAGATTGATGTAAGGTGGTGTAATAATAATAATGGTAAAAATGGCGGAACAGAAAGGTACAATCAGAAATTTTTTAGTTAAGGGAGACACAACCACTTTTTATGAAGAAAGTAAAAGGTTACAGCAGGATCGCCACTGGCTTCTATTCTGAGCCATATCTGATAACGTCTCTAACCACTGTATCTCACTATTTCTAGGACCCTAGCCAGGGAGTCATGAAGAACGAACACAATCCCGCCCTTTGCAGTTTTCTTTCATATCACGACACCATGTCATACACTGACTACCTCTCCGCTTCTTCCAACCAGTCCCAGAGTCGGCAAATAATGCACGAGGTGGAATTCTCTGGGACGACATTCGTAGAACATGTCTAAGCCACCGAAATCGGTGTTTCAAGATGGTGACACCAATTGCACTGTTGTCTCTGTGCCCGAGCACATGATGCCGAACCTCTGCATTACCAACATGGTGTTGCCACTGGATGTCAGCAATCCTTCGGAGACAACGATGATCGAACACAGAAAGTCGTCTAACGTCCTCAACTCGGAGAGGCCAGGTTTCACAAGTATAGAGCGAAACTGCTCTCACCGACGCGGTGTAGATCCGACCTTTTACAGCCAGACTAACATCATGAAGGCACCAAAGATGACCCAGATTGGCATAAGCCGCTCTGGCTTTCATCATACGTGCATTGATCTCATCACTCACGCCACCACTAGCACTTATGCAGCTACTCAGATACACGAACTTCTCGACTACTTCTATCTGCTCACCATCCAGAGTGAGTGCATGGTTAGAATCCTGCCAGTCTTGTAGAAGTACTTTGCACTTCGAAGGTGCAAAGCACATACCGTACCTACGGACATTGATTGCCAACTGATTAAGTGCGGATTGCATGACTTGGGCATTATCGCACAGTAAAACAATATCATCCGCATACTCAATGTCGAGAATTCTTTCTCCAGGCAACAAATCCACACCACCATTACTTACATCCGTCAGAGCTGTTTGCAGAATGTCATCGATGGCAAAGTTGAAGAGGAATGGTGAGATTGGGCAACCCTGCCTAACCCCACTGCTCGAATAGAACAATGGAGAAAGGTGGTTGTATGCCCTCACTCTGCCTGAGGTGTTTGTATGTAGGGCTTTTAGGATGTTAATAAACTTCTCAGGCACACCCTTCTTTAACAGACAATCCCAGAGAACAGTCCTGTCCAACGAATCGAAGGCAGCCCTGATGTCAAGAAACACTACAATTATTGGCCTTTGATAAGTATGACGGTGTTCTAACATTTGGCGGAAGGTGAAGATATGATCAATACATCCTCGACCAGAACGAAAACCAGCCTGCTCCTCGCGAGTCAATTTTTCCCGGGTTTTGAACAACCTACGAAGCTGGTGGTAAAATTCATCCTTGATTTCATCCGGGCTGCAATCTGTTGGGGCATAGGCGGAGATGACGAAAAAATATCGTTTCTCACGCCGATTTCTTCTCACTCTGATGGAACTTTCTAATCTAACAGCACATAAACAACCGATTGTTAATGGGGATCCAATCGATTAGTGCTGCCTCAGCTCTAGCGCTTAGTGCGACACCAACGCCAGCAAGACCAGACGAAGATGCCACAGGGTTTCCGGATAATCGCACGTAAAACAAGCTTTTCGAAGCGACAGATCGAGAACGAATTCGTAGTACTTCACCACAGTCTTGAATACGAGTCTTGGATAGACAAAAACGCCGATATTAAGACTTTACAACAACATAACCAGCCCTATCTGTTGTCTAACCTGCATAAGTGTGCGAACGTAACATACAATTTTCAACCGGACAGTGACTCGAGAACGTTCAGATAGAGTCGAATTTCCACCATAGACGAGCTGCTGTATAAGTCGAGACAGAGTAGGAATAAAAGAGGATGAATAATGATGTAGTAAATAACAATAATAATAATAATAATAATAATAATAATAATAATAATAATAATAATAATAATTTGAATCATTTGACTGTTAGTTGAAGCAAGAAAAGTAGTTTCCATAATTATAGACAGTTCATCATTTGTGTGTGGGCTGTGATACTGCCCGGGTGCCCAGACCGAAGCACACAATCATACGCTACTCTTTACGAAACCGTTTAAAAGCTGTAGGTTTTAGATTCGTGCAAACTTTGTGGAACCACCCTTTGCACTCATCGCACTGTATTTCACTTCCCACAGGGTATCGACAACTCATGCGTTAGTAATTGTTTTTCAGATTGTTCAGTCATCAACCAGAGGTTTTGAAATGAAGATACAAGAGGACACGCGGAGACAAGAACCGACAACCAGAAGGAAAGTAAAAAACCATTAACTGTTAGATCCAAAAATGCAACAAAAAAAGACAAATACACTTTTAAGAAAGTACAGATGATTGCTTACTTTCAAGGAAAAACGATACTGTTGATGTTATTTTAGCTAAAATAAATTCAATCAAAAAGAGAACAGTGGTTTCAATGCATGATAAACGATAAAAACTATAAATTTAGCTCAGCGAGGAAGAATACTACTGTCCTTTTTAAAGCAGATGTTACGGTTGTTCAATGCAGAGAAGCCCTCCACAGAATACTGATCAATGGATAATCAGCTGCAAAAGTAACGAAGTAAATTTTATTACCAGTCGCAGATACTAACCAACAAAACATATTAACGACATTGGGCACTTTGTATGAAAGGAAGTTAATGTCGTTTTACGAACTATATTCTAGGTTGTTCAGGCAACCCTAAATTTATGTTGATGCTACTCTAACAATGTTTCATGTCATCCAGACAGTGTACTTGACTATTGCATTAGGTGGACGTAGGTTATCATGACCTAAGAAACAGAATCTAGGCAGTCTCCACGAAATTATGAACCGACTGGCTTTAGAAAATCATGAAAATTATCAATAAAACCATTATGACTCTCCTTAAAACCCAATGCTTGTAAGACGGTGACCAGTATGTCTTTAGTAATGGTAAGTCATGCAAAAAGGAACTTTATTTCCGGGCTGGTCAGCAAGAAGTAAATTAGATTAACTTTGTAAAAGATTTGGACGAATTTCCTGACACTACGGATATTGGATCCGGAAGGCTTAAAGACTGCCAGATACCCACGCAAACAGGCTAGAGCTTTCGTAGTTAGCAGGCAACACAGACTAAGATAATCTAATAGAAGATAACAAGTGAAGAAACACACTAAAATAGACTAAGACGGGACCACTACTAATTGAAATAATTTAACTTGTAAACACATCCACAGTCAGTCAGCTACAACGTAGGACCAGGCACATATATTTCAGATTTGTTTAGTAAGGACAGAAGGCCTATGGCCCATGTTATTCCTTTTCTAGTATGCTTCTGTGAGTGTCCAGTCTTCTCTTGAAAGAGTCAACTGAAGGTGCGGACACCACTGCTTCAGGCAGCAGGTTCCAGGTATTGATGACTCTGTCCAAGTTGCCATACCTCATTAACACAAGATGGACACCGGATTCATAAAAGTAGTTAATTCAGAGGTGGTAATTTATAAGAGAAAAATTGAAATAAGGATATAGTACGGGAAGGAAGAATTAGTTCGTAGAAAGAAATATATGAAGCGATTTTAATCTCTTAGTTTAAAAGAAGACAGAGAGTGTATACACCGACGGAGAAGTAATTTTCAGACAAATTAGTCTTAAGAATACACTGCTTTAGTCTTATTAGTTGCATAGAAACACACAACGACTTACTCTTAGAGGTCACTTAGCGACAACCTCAGACGGACTATACATATATAACGCAACAGTTGAACAATCCACTCTACTCAGTTTCAGACTTCAAATTTCTGTAGTAAGCAGAGAAGGCCTACAGCCTATGTTATCACTTTTCTAGTATGCTTCCGTGAGTGTCTAGCCTTCTCTTGAATGAGTCAATTGGAGGTGTGGACATCACAACTTCGAGTAACAGGTGATGACTTGGTGTGATAACCTATATGCCACGGGTTTTGTCTGTTCTTGAATTTCCTACTCGCCTGTTATGTCATCTGAGATGTACAGATCTATTGGGAATTAAAGGAGAAGACACGTCAAGTCCGAAATCGTCTCTTAGTATCCTATACATCAAAATCAGATCACCTCTTTATCTTCAGTAGGATAGAGTAAAGAGGTTGTAGCGGTAAATAGATCCCCAAAATAAATAGCTCTGTAAGTCTTCGACAGTGGATGCTGACCACATTAGATTTAATGGACTCACCTAGCTGAAGGCGCTCGGTCATGCATCTGCATCAGACCACGAGTGGGAACGCCGTGCTCAACATCGCCTGCAATCGCTAGCCAGCCTAGGTCAGTCTATCCTCGATACATTGATAGCCTATCAAATATACCTTCAAACCTCCTTGCTTCTATATTTTGACTTCACTTGGTGGGTACGATTCATATTAGAAGGTGTTACTGGTTAAAGCGTTGTCGAACTCCAAATACCTGTAGCATCTTCAGTGGTAACATGACGTCGAATGTAGTTCGGACGCTTCTCCTGAACATCTCTTCCGCAGGGGATTTCCCATCTGGGACCATAGTATTATTCGCAGTCCTATAATTAAATGACCTGTTCTTTCCTCCCTCTTTCAAAAGTGCTCTTTTGCATGTGTTCAGGAAGTGCTTTGCCTGCCCATTTGATTTAAGGTTTTAAAGTTTTGCCTGCAAAACTCCAAATACCTGTGACACCTTCATTGGTGAGTTCAACATGATCTGGTACACCAACTTGCAAACTGTTTGTTCCTTTTTGGGATTTTATACTCTAAGTTTCATATATTGTGATATTTTCCCCGTGTTTTTGTATATATATGTTTTCCCCGTCCGTTCTTGTACTTGATATGATGGAACAGACACCTAAGACCCCAACTTTGTTTCAGTTAATGCTTTTCTGGCCAGACAACATCGAAGCCTGGTTCTGCTGCTCAGTGGCCAGCTTCCGTGAGCAAGGTGGGAATGACACACGTACACTATTCTTCGCAGCAGTCAAGCCCGTAAACGGTCACGTACTCCGCAAAGAAGTACTTCACGTGGGCGATCTGTCTCCATACCACGGGGGACGGATAAACCCAACTGGTGCTGGTTTCATAACCAGTACAAAAAATCTTCGAAAAAATGGCAGCAAACCCTACAATTCTCTCAACTCAAAATCGATCGACACAAAAAACAGCTTAGGAAACTTCTTAGCTGACACGCGTTAACGGCAACCGTAGCCGGCGAACATAGCCGTCTGTTATACGTCACAGATGGGATAACGAAAGTTCGCTACCATGTCGATACTGGCGCAGAAGTTAGCGTTCTTCCTTCAAATTCTAACGACCAGCTTCACTAACCGGTTTTAGACTTACAGGCGGCAAACGGAAGGCCTATCGCCATTTTATGGTAAACGTTACGTCTGTCTTAACGTTGGTTTACGCAAACACATACACTAGATTTTCGTGGCTGCAGATGATTCTATGCCAATCATTGGTATAGACCTGTTACAACACCACAGTCTACTCATTGATACATGCGAACGGTGGCTACTAGACAGGAACACTAATTTATCTATTCACGTAACTTCTTTTCGCAGCTGCAAATTATCTTCAGTCACATCTGCGCACACAACAGATCCATTCTATCAACAATTACTCGATAATTAGTATGGGATATACCAACCACTGCTGAAATTGCCGCGTGTAACCAACAATGTTGAACATCACATCACGACTACAGGAACACCTGTGTTCTTAAAAGCGCTCCGACTGGCCGCCAAAAAGCTGAGGTTGGCTGAGAACGAATTCGAACACATGATAGAGTTAGGAATCATTTGACCATCAAACAGCCCATGGGCATCGCCCCTGCACATAGTCCTTAAGAAGGACAGCAGTGATTAGTGTCCAACTGATGACTATCGGCGACTGAATGCCAAAACCATTCCGGATAGTTACGTCACCCTTTGCTCCACATTCACGATTTGACAGCTATCTTGAAGGCTAAAACTGTCTTTCGGTTAAAGCTTATAATCGAATTCCTAAAACCACTGATAATATTCCTTAAACCGCTATCATAACTCCTTTCGGTTTATACGAGTTTTTGCCTTTCGGCTTAAGAAACGCTACCCAGACCTTCCAAGGGTTCATAAATAACGTTTTTTGAGGTCTCAACTTCGTACATGCGTATGTTGATGACTGCTTGATAGCAAGTGCAGACAGGGAATCTCATCTTCAGCATCAGGACCTTGTTTTCGAACGACTGCGAAAGCATGACATTACGGTAAATTTTACCATTATATTTCTGCGTGTGCATATACACGCCATTTTTACAGACATGATCTACAAATTACAACATTTATTGCCTAACAGTATGCATCCCAAGTAGGGTTGATAAATAAATATAATCTATAAAAGTGAATATCAGTACATTCGTTCAGATGCATTAGAGCGTTAATGATTGGGTTTTTGCTTTAGTACTGCACTAAGTAACCTTCAAAATGTTTTCCAAAGTGACATGGCGTCCACGTTACACATCAAATCCTATCTCGGCATAAATGTGTTAGAATTTTGATCATGCTAAGTATCTATGCAGTTGTGATATGTTTATCTGTGAAGTTCATAATCAGTTGGAGGGCATAGATAAGAGTGGGTGATTAGCCCGATCTCCACCAACCAAGTTACTGCTCACCTTAGTTCATGAGTCATTCGTCTCATTATCCAGGAGGCACGACGCGAATGTGTGAGTCGGATTTCGGATAAGATTCGAAAAAGGGGAACAACAAAGCAGCAATCAATACCAGACGAACAAGAGTAGAAAAAGCCAAGGCACAAGCTGAAAACACAGAAGTAAACAAACAAGTGAAGAGTAGTATCTGAACTGATAAATGTTAATATGAGGAGGATATAGCATTCCATTTACTAATTTACGCCTGTTACTCCTAATGGAGCATAGGCCGCTGACCAGCATTCTCCAACCCACTCTGTCCTGGGCCTCCTTTTCTAGTTTCATCCAGTTCTTGTTCATTCTTCTCATATCTGTCTCCATTTCTCGGCGTAATGTGTTCTTTGGTCTTCCTTTTTTCCTTTGGGCTTCAGGATTCCATGTGAGGGCTTGTCTTGTGATGCAGTTGGGTGCTTTCCTCAATGTGTGTCCCATCCACTTCCAGCGCTTCTTCCTGATTTCTTCCTCCGCTGGGATCTGGTTTGTTCTCTCCCACAGCTGGTTGTTGTTAATGGTGTTCGGCCAACGGATCCGAAGTATTTTGCGTAGACAACGGTTAATAAACACCTGTATTTTCTGGATGATGGCTTTCATTGTTCTCCAGGTTTCTGCCCCATACAGTAGAACTGTCTTAACATTTGTATTGAAAATCCTGACCTTGGTGTTGGTTGACAGTTGCTTTGAGCTCCAGATGTTCCTCAGCTGTAAATATGCTGCTCTTGCTTTGACGATTCGCGCCTTCACATCTGCATCAGAACCACCATGTTCATCAATGATGCTGCTCAGATATGTAAAGGTTTTTACATCTTCCAAATCTTCTCCGTCAATTGTGATTGGATTGGTGCATGTTGTGTTGTATTGGAGAACCTTGCTCTTCCCTTTGTGTATATTGAGACCTACTGCTGCTGAGGCTGCTACTACACTTGTCGTCTTCTCCTGCATTTGTTGTTGCATTTGAGATAGAAGGGCCAGATCATCTGCGAAGTCTAGATCGTCCAACTGCATACTAGATGTCCATTGTACCCCGTGTTTCCCTTCAGATGTTGACGTCTTCATGATCCAGTCAATCACCAGGAGAAAGAGAAAGGGTGAGAGTAAGAAACATTGCCTGACACTGGTCTTTATTTCGAACGACTTTGTTAACTGTCCTCCAAGCACGATTTTGCAGTTTAATCCATCGTATGAATTTTGTATGATATCGACTATATTCTAAGGCACGCCGTAGTGTCGAAGAAGCTTCCATAGCATTGTCCTGTCCACACAGTCAAATGCTTTCTCGTAGTCAATGAAATTGATGTAGAGTGATGAATTCCATTCAATTGATTGTTCCACAATGATCCATAGAGTTGCGATTTGGTCTGTACAGGATCTATCCTTACGGAATCCTGCCTGTTAGTCTTGAAGTTGGGCGTCTACAGAGTCCTTCATTCTGTTTAACAATACCCTGCTGAATGCTTTTCCTGGTATTGAAAGAAGAGTGATACCATTGTAGTTCTCGAACTTGCTGAAATCGCCTTTCTTTGGTATCTTGATCAGGTGTCCTTCTTTCCAGTCTTTTGGTACTTGTTCTTCATCCCAAATCTTATTAAAGAAAATATGTAGTATCCTTGCGGTTACCGCTACAACTGCTTCCAGTGCCTCTGCCGGAATGTTGTCTGATCCTGCTGCTTTGCCACTCTTGATTTGTCTGATGGCCATGCTGATTTCTTCAATTGTTGGTGGGTCAGCATCGATTGGGAGGTCCGTGGGTGCTGCTTTGATGTTGGGTTGGTTCAGTTGAGCCGGTCGATTCAAGAGTTCTTTGAAGTGTTCTGCACACCTGTTTCGTTGCTCTTCAATGTTGGTGATTACCTCACCTTCCTTGATTTTCACTGGCTGTTAAGGTTTGCGACGATTTCCAGAGAGATTCTTTGTTATGTCATACAGTTGTCTCATGTTTCCTTCTCTTGCAGCCTTCTCCGCCGCCGTTGCTAAATCTTCCACGTATTTACGTTTGTCGGTTCTGATTCTCCTCTTCACTTGCTTGTTTACTACTGTGTATTCAGCTTGTGCCTTGGCTTTTTCTGCTCTTGTTCGTCTGGCATTGATTGC